TGAGCCACCCAGGCGCGCCGGCACTGTATTTGTTTTAAAAAAAAAATCTATGTATAAGTGGACTTGCACAGTTCAAACCTGTGTTGTTCAAAGGTCACCTGCATATTGTATTTGAAGTAATAAATCTGGATGAGATCACCCAGGGAGTGAATACAAATACAGAAAGATGTCCTGGGGGGGCACCCCACTATTGAGAAGTTGGGGAGAAGAGGAAGAAGCAGTAAGGGAGTCTGAGAAGAGTAACCCGTCTTTCTCGGTTTCCCTGCACAATCCTGTTTTTTTACATTTTTATTCTAATAGAAACACAAGGAGGCAGCATATCCACATGTAAGGGCAGGAAGCGAATGAGAACAGTTTCCAAGTTGGCCAAGACCCTACTGATGTAGCTGAGTACAGGGCTGTCCTCAGAGGTGAGCACCCTGGTACCACTCAGAGGCCTCTCCTGGGACTACCCTCAAGCCAGAGGTGTAAACCAGGGCAGCTCAGTGTCCCCTGTCCCCCTAGGCCTAGGTGGGGCTTCTGTCTTCAACGGAGACTTGTTAAAAACACCAAAAACCCAGTTGCTTCCACCAGTTCCAGCTTTTCTAAGAAGCGACACAAACAGCATACCAATTCACAGTGATTGTCCCTCAAAGCTGGTATGTGCATGATTTCTCCCAGGGCAATACAACAACAAAAATTCTAGTTATTTCAAAAAACGTGGCGCTCACTGATACACCTCCTTTCTTTTCTTCCTTCCGCTAACTTATGTACTGGTGGTGCTGCAACTCAGTCTTCACCCTACTGCAGTCTCTCTTATTAACTGTCTCCCAGATTTTTCTATGTAAATGTAATTTTAAAGAAACATTATACCATGAAAATTTTCAAACAAACACACAAGTAGAGGGAATGATCTAGTGAATTCCTTTGTGTCTATTACTTATCCTTGGAAATTATTAACATTTTGCCAATGTCACTCAAAGATCATCAAAGTGTATTTCTCGTTTTAAACCTAGGACACTAGCCCTAGGCGGAGTCTCTTACTTCCAGCCAGCATGGTACCTGAGGAGAAAACAAGAATCCTTTTGTCTTTTTATCCTAAACCTGCTCCTGCTTATCCAAGGTTTGCACTTTCCTGAGACTATTCTAAAAAAAATCCATTTCTTAATTCTAGGTGTTTCTTCCTATCTTTTATATAGGTCTTCAGAAAACTCACAATTTGTGTGAGAGCTCAGCTTTTGGGGCATCTCTCTGTTTTCTCACCAGCTTAATTTTAATTGTGCAGCTAGAATGACATTTTTTTTTTTTTAATCTTTATTTTTGAGAGAGAGACAGAGTGAGAGTGGAGGAGGAACAGAGAGAGAGACACACAGAATCTGAAGCAGGCTTCAGGCTCCAAGCTGTCAGCACAGAGCCCGACGCGGGGCTCGAACTCACAAACTGTGAGATCATGACCTGAGCTGAAGTTGGACGCTTAACCGACTGAGCCACCCAGGCACCCCTAGAATGACATTTTCGAGAGCATCTTGAACTTTCCATCCAGAGGGCATGGCATGACTATTAACTAATGGTCATATTTTCCTGCCCTTACAAGTCTGGCTTTTCTAAAACTATGTATGCATTTCTTGGCCTGGCTTTGACCTCCAAGCTAACCTGAAAGCAGAGAT